CCGTCCCCCTGCCAAGCTCCACACTTCTCCTAACCCAGGGATGCTCCAGGGAAAAAGTGGACCCTGCAGCCAGTCGGCCTGGCCCGAGCTCCTCCCCGCACCTGCCATTTTCCAACAACGAAAGGGGCCCCGTAAGAGGCGGATGTGAAGACCACCCCCCGGTGAAAGCACCCCCACCCCCCTCTTCTGTGGTTACCCTGCCCTGCGCCCTGGCAGCTCTGTAAACGGGGGCCGGAAAAGACACCAACGGTAGGTCTGTTTAATGGCAAACAGTCCCTCAACTGAGAAATCCTCAGCACAGCTGGGGAGTCAACCTTCCCCCAAAAGGACGGGGGGCTCTTCAGAAGGAGCGAAGTGTTTCGAGCCAGAGAAAATCCAACCGCCCAGACCGTTCCCTTCTAGTTCCTCCTTCACAACGACAGGCGTAAGCGGAGAGCCGCCGGCAAGCTGAGGGGAGGGAGGGGACAGGGCCAGGAGTCGGGAGAGGCCAGAGCACCAGATGGCACGTTATTGTATCATCCTGCACGGCACTGAATGTTATGTCCTACAATGAATTTTTTCCCAATTAAAAACACACTTGCCATTTAAACAAAACTCTAAAATCCAGTTGCAACGTAAGCCATGACTAAATCGAAAACCTCAAGTATGTTCTTAAAATGTATCTTCCACTTAAACAGACTCCAGAACGTAAAGGCCACATAATTTGCAAGGGTGGCAGACTCTGGATTTCGTGGCCAAACAGCTGCCTCTAAAACTGATGGAGGCCTGGCGCCCGGGGGGCTCAGTCAGGTGAGCATCCAACTTCGGCTCGGGTCATGATCTCAGGGATCATCAGATCAACTTCCACGTCGGGCTCTGCTCTCAGCAGAGAGCAGGGACTCTGTCTCCCTCTCTCTCTGCCCCTCCCCGGCTCGTGCTCGCTCTCTCTCAAAAATAGGCAAACATTAAGAAAAAAAAACAATAAAAACGAAGGCCAAACTCGAGGCTTGCACGATCTGTCTTTGAAATCACTTACAGGTAAGACCTCTCTCTCCATAAGGAGTTCTCTCCACACTTCAGAAGCTCCTCAGTAGAGCTCTAACCAGAAAATTTTTTTAACAAACTCATAACCGGCAGGGTAACGATTTATTCTCTATGCTTAAAAGTACTAAAAAGTATCGTGTAAAGCGGAGGGAAATGGACCTCAGCGCGTACCACACCCAGACAGCAGGAAAGCAACTGGGATGCTCACACGTCCACAAAAGCCGCGAGGGGCGGGTGGCAGACAGCTGCTAGGACTTCTGCGGATCAGTCCTGAGCCTGTCAGCGCAGCGGGCCAGTAACAGTGGCTGCTTCTGGAGAGGACACAGGAGTTAAGGGCAGAAGGGAGTTTACCACTTTGTACCCTTTGGTGCCACTTGAATTTTTTAAAGTTTTGTACACATGTATTTTTTTACTGCAGAAGTCACAACCCACATGAGCTTGACTGGGAATAAGGAATAAAGGCCTGTCCGCCACGATGGGCAGGGTGAAATCAGTGGTGTGCCTCAGGCTGCCTCCCCCCGCCCCGCACCCCAACCCCAGATCACAGGGCAGCTCCGGAAGGTCTGAAGGACCCTCCGTACAAAGGGTGAAAAGACCAGGAGTGGCTGAAGGTCTGGAGCCCGAGGCTGTTCCCCTTCCATGGGGGGGGGAGGGGGGGGTTGGTGCTCCAGGCCTGGAGCAAGGAGAAGCTGGGAGAGGGTGGGGTGGGTGCAGGCTGTGAGCACAGGGTGGCTCGGAGCAGAAAGGCGTCAGGACGAGAGCCCTGGCCTGGGGTAAGACGGACACCGGGCTGGAAAGCCGGGCTTTTCAACCGTCTGATGTGCCTCTTGTGGAAAACGCGCTAGTCTCGAGCAATCAAACAAGCGGGATTCCTGGCTGCTTGGTCGCATAATCTGCCATTCCACAAACAACAGTTCTTAACGAACGTCAAGTCTGGATTCTTCCTTTACGTGACGCTATTGCTTTCTTTATTTAAACTGCTTCCTACCAAGTGCCCCAATATATAAAGAATTTCAACACAAACAACGTGGCTCTAGCCACTACCAATTCGCAGCCTATACAAATTTTGATGATTGGCTGTGTTCTCCTCATCCCCAATCTATTTTTAAACTAAATCTGTCCTCTAGCTGTAACATTTCAAAACTTCATTTTCTTCACTTCTAGCAGCAAAATGTCCCTGCAAACCAAAACCACGCGCAACGTCTCTGGGCAGCCGCTCTCCCTGGGGCCCGGGGGGGGGCTTCGCGGGGCCTCGAAGCGCACCAGAGCCTGGGGCCGGCTTCTCCGACGGCCCTCCTGCGGGGCGCACCCCACTCCCTGATGCAGGCACCCATTTCCACCCCACAGGAGCGGATTCCATCCAAACGTGAATTCAGGGAGCGTGGGACCGAAGTGGACATGGGAGAAGCACAGGGCGGCAACAGGGGCAGGGGCAGCGGTGAGCCGACGGGGGGTCAGCAGGGGGCCCCTGGGCCCCAGACCACAGGAGGGGTCCGTGTGCGCTCCAGCTGCACGCCCCGGGGCCGCCGGGCCTCCCCGCGCACGCCCCAGTCACACCACCGCTGCCTCCCGGCTGTCCTCCGGCTGCCTTCTCCACCGGCCTCAAGCTCCTGGCTTTCCGGTTGGTTCTTTCTGACCGTCGGCTCTGCTCCCCTCACGGCCCTCTGGTGCCGAGCCCAGGACCTCGTGGCTTTAGCATCCACTCCCCATCAGAGCCGTTCTCTGCGTTCCGTCCTCCCCCCACCCGCAGGGACCCCATGTGAGCGTGGGCCCCAATGGACAGAGCATTCCGTCCTC